CGCCAGAGAAGGGGGTATATGTGTGGACACCGGTAGCAGGGACCGTAGACTGTGGACTGCAGACAACATTCATCCGTCCTGAGTAATATATGTGATCAGAGACGGGAATCCCCCCAAGAGGACCCCAGGCACCATGCTACCTCCAAAGCTAACCCAAGACCCGCCATAGGAGCACTGGAAGTGACATCCAAAGCTGACCAAGGACATCTTAGTAGCAGCGATCTCTGACATCCCCCAGGTCCCCAAGATATCACAGCCCAGCCCACAGAGAGCATCACAAAACCAAGACAGCCACCGCATCAGGTCAGGTGGCATTTCCACTCTGACCACTCCGGCAAGGCAGCTTGTCCGAAGAAAGCAGCGAGGGTGCATGTCCGTGAGCACCGCTCCCCTGGACTTGAACTCCGTTGTCCCCACCTTGGCACTCAGTATGATGCCTGGCACCGGGTAGACATGTAAAAAGCGTCTGCTAAATATAGCAAGGAACAGGGTGAGGGAAGGATGTGTAGACACAATCCAGTGGCTTGTTTCTCTACCAGTTTCACACCAGAAGTAACACATTTCTGGGTAGAGCTGAGATCCCATCACTTAGGCCGTACTGAGCACCAGCTATGGGAGAGAAGGACATGCCCAGGCGTGGGTAGCTTTTATCCTCCAGGAAAAACTCCCTAACTTCTGCCGAGGAGGACAGTGTAGGAAGAAATAACACTGCCCTGAGATGCCCTGCAGAGTCCACACCGGCAGGCTCAAAGCGAAGTCCTTCCTACCCACTTGGCAGTCAGGTGAAGTTGGACCAAACCACGTGTCTGTGGCCCCATATAGAAGAGGGTGCTAAACAGGCCGGCTTTCATAACATAATGAGCACAGAGGTTCCCGGGATTCAGGGCTGAGGGCATCATTATGCTTAGTTCAGGGGAAGCAGTTTGTTGTAGGCAAAAGCAGGGGAGGGCCTGACGCCTAATGCCTTGGCCACAGCCTATCAGCTTCCTGTCTGGGGCTGAATTTTCACCCCTGGACTCCCACCTCTCCTCCTGGGGCTCTGGAACGTGGTGATGAGTGACATCCTCTGCGTGCTCTGGCGTCAGTGGCTCTACTAAGCCAAGGAGCAGGCGATGGCATTGCTCGTGGAGGTCAGGAGAGCTCGCGGCTGGGGGCACAAGGGTAGAGGGCCCCGCATTTGAGGGTCTATGCTGAGTGACCTCATGTGCAGGAAAATTTGGTCTTCCAGACCCCACTGAAGTCCCTCAGCCGCAGGGGGGCGCACTGCAGGAAACGGCGTTACTACCACGTCCGGTCGTGAAATGGTCTCCAGCGAGGATCGAAAGGAAAATAGCTAGGAAACAGAAGATCATTCCTAATAAACGCAGACACAGTCTACTCATTTTTTGATCCCTAAGCAAATGCTCAGCCGGGCTGACTCCACAGTTAACGTGAGACATGCCAGGAAGGAAGGGACCCGACACACTGACCCCCTCCTCTCCCAGCAGGCTGATGCTCTGGGGATTGTCGGTGTCACCGCTCCCGTCACTGGGGAGAGCCCCTGAGAGGGGTGTGAGGAGGAAACAGCGGTAAGATCATGTGTAAGAGGCAGAGCTTCCCAGGGCAGGGCTGATCCTGTACCCCACTGGTGTGTTGGGGAACTGGCTGACCCTGACAAAGGTACCACTGAGTCACCTTCACTGCACTCAGTCTCCCTAAAAAGAAGCAACACTTTTTTGTGGGTATACTAGCAATGGAGCTCAGGGTCTTCACACTGAGCCAAGTCCCCGGCCCTTTTTTAATTTCTTAGTTTGAGACAGGCTCTTGATAAGTTGGCCAGGGTGTGCTCAAACTTGCAACCCCCCCTCCCCCCGCCTCAGCCTCCCAGAGTGATGATGACAGGCGCATGTCACCACCCCCCAGTGGAGATGACACATTTTAAATCAAGGATGCTGCCCCTCAGGCTATTCCTTTAAAGAACTCAGAAGCAACAGCAAGGTTTGGAATGGGCAGCTGCTTCCTGAGAGCCTGGCCCACTGCCGCCCTGCTCCAGGCTGAGATCATCCAAACCGGAGGCAGAGGAAGCTCCAGGTAAGTCTGGAGGAACAAGTTCCAAAAGATGGTGAGAAGATACTGGACTGGAAGTGGCCAGTGTGGAATAAAATCCCCGCACCATGTGCCACACCCCCGCCCCACCCTGGGGAGCTGAGCAGAGGTTCACGTGCCTGGACAGGCAATGACTCAATCCTGTGGGAGCAGGGCTGAAAGCTCCGCAGTGTAGAATATGCCCTTTACCGAGTGACGCCTCACATTCAAGGGTGGCCCCAGAGGGATCTGCATTTAGCACCCCTGCCCCAGCCCATGCCTGATGGCCTGGGGGAGACGGTTGAACCTTCTGAGCTTCTCCGTGGAGAAGGGCATGAGAATCGCAGAGCTGGAGCTTTTTCCACCCCAGGGGACAGCATGAGGCAGGCGGGCCTGGGATTCACTGAGTCCCTGCCACAGCGCTGAGCCGGATCCCCCTCATGTTTGATCTGCCCTCTGAAAACCAGGCCCCCGAGGCACAGGAGAGATGGGACATGGCGCTGCTTTGCAGGAAGCTGCAGACAGCAGTAAAAGAGTGCTTGGCTGGGAGAAATTAGTGAATTATCCCGAAAGTCTACCTCCACTTTACAGGGAGCCCCCCAAGAAACTCAACATCCAAGGTGAACACTGCCTTTTAAAGATCAAAATGAATGTATGTTTTTAAAACCCAGGATGAGCAAAATTGTCAAAATTTTAAATCAAGCCAGACTCCGGCCCTGCAAGACTGTTTCATACTCTTGGGGCACCGAGCACGGTGTCCCCATTGTGCTCATCGCTGTTGTCACTGGGTAGTCACAGGGGTGGTGGCTAGATGAGTCTCCTACCCGCAGGAGTGAGGGCAGTGTGGCTGGCCAGCCTCGGAGAGCCTGGCTCTAGCTCAGAGCATGGCACGAGGGTAAGAGATGCCCAAGAAGCACCGGAGTGAGGATCGTGGATGGAAAAAGTCCCAAGAGCTGTTCTCTGAGCAGCCGCCACTCTGTGCTTCTGTTCCCAGCCTGAGGACTCCCACCTGCTCCGTCACTGCTACCCCCAAGCCCCTGCCTTCCTACAGCCCAGGGCCAGACCTGGGTTCCAGAGACCGCGGTGTTGCCATTTGTGAAAAGATACATTAAGTGCCAAGCCGATGATGCCGTGGCGACTCACAAAACCATCAGGTCCAGAGACAGTGAGTGACAGGTTTGCTGTGGCTGTGTGACTTTTCTCCGCCCGCTCACAAGGGCCGCTGGGCAGCTGGAGGGTGTGTCCTGCCATTTCGCACACTTGGGTGTTGGGCTTCCGCCCCTTGGGAGCCAGGTTGGCTCCATTCCAAGACAGTCGCTCTCTGTCCATTTCTTCCCAGAGAACATTTCTATTTTGAGGAAGTTTAATTTGGGGCTAGCCGGAATCACAGAGGATGGGTTTGCCTGCAACATGCTAAGATGCAGGCAGCTGCTAAATAAAAAGCTCCGAATAGCCACACTCTATTTTTGCATTTTTATAAGTTCTTTGACTGGAAAAGAGAGATTAAGAAATACAGAATTTCTCCTTTTCCCACCTGGCCTCCCAGTGGCGAGAGAAACAGGAACACGGGGCAAGGGCAGGGGGAATCCCCATAAGCAGCCCGGTCCTGCCGCAGCCTCTGCTCAGCGCTCCTCCCCTGCACATGGGCACTGCCCCTCCTCTATGTGTGCCCGTCCCGTCCCCTCTGGGGCACGGGAGAGATGGCTGCACTTGCCTGCCACAAAGGAGGGGAAAGAGGAGAAGTACCCCCAAGTCACCATCCGCTCCCCCGGCTCCTGGAGCAGTGCCCTGCTGGCCAAGTGCCCACACATAGCCTCTGTGCCAGCAGGCAAAGCTCAGCGGGCTCCCAGGAACCCAGGCCAGACTGGAGACCGCTTGGGCTCACTGTTAAGAGGACACGGATAAGCAGGGAGAAGCAGCATGCTGTTCTGATTCTTTGTCAAAAACTCACAAGCCAGGAAGGCCCTGGATTCAATGCCCAGGACCGGAAAAAGTAAATATATAAATAAGCCTCACAGCCCCGCCACCGGCTCAGTCTCCCTTTCATAAGGGACATTAGGTGCTGTGTTCCTGCTAGAAGCCCTATAAATCCCCACATCTCCTCCGTATACAATTCAAAACAGGCCTGCAAATTGCCACTGCTGCCAGGCTAAGCATCGGAAAGTTCTGCTTGACCTTTCATTAACATTTTTCTAAAGCAATATGTTTGTTGGTTTTCTTTTTCCTTTCTTTCTTTCTTTTTTTTTTTTGCTACAAGCACCCTGAGGAATTATGAAAAATACTTTTTTCTGTAGTTTATCCCATATGCACTTAATAGGCTCACAAATATAATACCATTATAAAAAAGAAAAACTGCCAACTCTGCTAAAAAAATTGTCATAACACTAAATTATTATATAAATATAAAAGGAGTGTGTCTGTAAAATATTCACTCAATGAACATCCCAAGGTGACGGTTTTGCTATGTTGTTTTTATTCCTGAGAGATCCATAACACATTTGGATATGCCACATGTCACCACATGAATCAGACAGTTAATGCATGTGCTTTTTAGAAGCAGGGATGTCTTCCCAATAGAATGTGCTATAAAAAAATGTGGAGATCTGGCTGCTTTGTCTGATAGGCATAATTTAATGTCTTGCTTATAATACTGCATCTTAAGGAAAAATACACACTGTCCTATGTAGTTATTTACAATATATTGCTAAGTCTATGCAAATATGTTTCCCTCAGCCCAGGATTATATAACAAAGGTCAACAATGTTTGAAATATTTTGAGGCATATTCCCAGTATGCTTAGTGTATGGTGCTAATGTCCAATATATGCACATATATCTTAATATATTTCCAGATATTTCTGTTCATTGTTCTCTCCAAAGCTTCCCACAGAATGCTATTAGGGGAATGTTTTCTTCTGAAGAAAGCCAAACATTGCCTATCCATCTTGGAAAAATTTATTAAGGTGGCTAATTATGCGGTCGTTAATATTGCATCAGTATGGAGGTTGCTCAAAGCCACTGCAGAAGGGAAAAAGATCGAGCCGGCTCAGTAATACTGGAAGCAGAGATTCAGCATCTGCAAAAACAAGTGCACACCTATGTGATCGTATTTCTCTGTCGTAGATTTCCAAATCAGGCCATTACGCTCAGACATCACTCGTGAGCCTGTGCACGCACGTACACACACGTGTGTGATGTGGTACACACAAAACCAAAATTACAAACCACACATTCTACTTCTCCCTTCCTTCCAAATACTGAAAATTTTGCCCTTATGTTTCTGAGGGCAATTTTCTGATCCTACGTGAGTTCCATTCGGATTGCTAAGGGAAAATGCTTTGGCTACTTGCAAAAAGATAGGAGAAAAAGACTGTAAACCCAGACCTTCACTATCCAAGCCATGCCCAGGGGAGAACGTGAAAGACAGGTTCATGTGTATCAAAGGTGTCTGGAAACTGAGTTTTAGCCCCGTCCCCCATTCCAAATCTTGCTATTGTCTTATCACTCCCCAGTTACTATGTTGGACAAGATTAGAGAAGACTTCACAGTCACTCAGACACCAAACAAGCAACCAAGGTCATTAACAAGAGGGCAATTCGAGGGAAAGACATTCATTCCCAGTGTGTGGGCCAGACTGGACTGGTCAGCTGGCTTTTTGTTTCTATGCTGCTGTGACACTGTAACTGTCACAAACCCTGGGCCACAGCATCACTCCAGAGGTTCATTCTACCATCTTCAGACCACCCCAGTATTGACAGTCCTCAAAACTCCAAGGCAAAATCTTGCCAATGAATACATTTTCTTAAGACTGCCAAAATCACCCACTTTCCAGAACTAGGAACTGCGCCTAGATGTGACGGTGAAACCAGTGCCATTAATTCAAATCTTGTCCACGTTATCAATTTAACCCAACACAGCCTGACCAAGGAGGCCTTTGAAAAGGACAAAAACTATGAAATAGGCTTTTCTCCAGCTGATGCTTTGCAGCCCTGTTTCCACAGGAGTGGGTTATGCAGCGCTTTCCTGAACAGGGGTCTCCTGGGAGAGGGACCGTGGACAAAGACAATCATAAGCATCCTCTTGAGAAGCTCTGCTCCCGTCTTCCTCCAGAAAGGAATGTCATTACTGGACACGGCTCCAGAAGCCTTCCTTTCTTTCTCTGGTATGGGGTTCCCCGTGCCCCAGGAATGACCCCCTATGTGCGGGGAGAGGGGAAGATGGGACGAGGCACTTGCACACTGCACACACAGCCCCTCTTCCCTCCTAAACCACAAACCACTTCATAGAGCATTCCAGAAAATTTCGAGAAAGGGTTTTCACGAGAGCCAAGAGAGCTATGAGCATCTTTGTTCTCCCACTGGAAACTCAATGGTATATAAGAGAGAGCAAATGTTAAATCATTTAAAGAGAGCTATTTTTCATAGTTTCCAGTACATAAATGTGTTTCAGTACGTGTTATTGTAAAATAGTGTTTCTACTTACGTTCTTATACATCTGTTGTTGTGTTTACTCATCTCTGGTTCTGACTTTTAGAAATAGCAATAAATCTATTTTTTAATCCCCTCTCCTGATGACTGATTATTCATCGCTAAAAGAGATGGAGGGAAGTCCATGTGAGGAGTGATCCACCCGCCTGAGCAAGCTCCACTTTTACAAGATAAACAGGGTCCGGGGAGATTCTTCTCCTGTCCTGGCTAGTTTATGCAAACTAAATAAGGAGTTGGTGGCAGCTCAAATAAATATGAATTACCCTCCAGTGGAAAATCCAACCACTTGTTACAGCCAGTTTCAGCAACAAGGAGCCAATGGTGACAACCGCAAAAACAATACAATGCATTTTTATACTGTGTCTCTAATACAGAGATCACAAATGGCTTCATGGAGAATCAGTCATCACTGAGCTAAACTGAAGAAGATGGGAAGCCAAAAGGGGAGAGGGAGAAGGGAATAGACTTGCCACTTCTGGACCCCGGCAGGAACACAAGAGTTGCCAAAGCAAGCACCTCAAGAACTGTGTAAGTCAGGAGAAGTCAGGCTTAGTCTGCTGTAACAAACAACCCCAAAATCTTAGTAGTTTGACAGAGCAAATGTTACTGTCTTGCTCTCATGAAACCTGCTGAGTGTCTGTCAAAACTCACAGGGACAGCTGTCCATCTGACATTCTCTGGGCCCCAGTGAGCAGGCTGTACTGATCATGTGACTCCTGTACCTCACCACGAGGCCTCCACAACTGCTGAAGCAGAGGAAGTGGAAAGAGGGCCATGGTGAGCCACACCATGGCGCTTCTCTGCTTTTGCCTGGGACCAGCCCTCTGACCAGAGTCAGACATCACTTCTTTTTCTAAGGGAGCTCAGCAATTTTGGAGAACAGAAGGAAATGCTTGGTGAACATCACTGTCTCTGCCATACATAACAGATTATTTCACAGAGTCAATAACTGCATGGTCAAAGTAAAAAGGAAGACAATCCCCAAGCAAAATACATCGTAAAGGACTGTCTCAGCATTGGTCCTAACTCCATAGTATGGGGCAACAATGTCAGTCTAACAGTTTATCTTCGAGATCCAAGATTTTGTGTTTTTGGGGCTGGGGATTTAGCTCAGCAGCAAAAGCGCCTGCCTGGCAAGCGGAAGGTCGTGAGTTCGGTTCCCGGTACCGCAGAAAAACCAAAAAAAACAAAAAAAAAACAAAAACAAAAAAAAAACAAAAACAAGATTTTGTGTTTTTGTAAATGCACACTGTCAGTGCACAGATATGGGTTGGTAGGGATAACAACCCTAGCTATCTGGCTTGCATCGCAGCATGCTGGGTCAGGGATGCTCTAAGTTCCAGGACTGGAGCTGTAGCACCAGAAAAGTCACCCAAATGTGAGACCCATCTGGTTCTATCTGATATCCAGCTGATTGCTTTGGAAGCACTTTTGATTTAGTGCCTTGCAATTTACATTTCCTTTAACATATCCGCTGGTGCTGTAGACTTCCCTATTTCACATCTACTGGTTCATACCTTAGATTATTGGCTAGAAATTTTTTAATGAATTCCAACTCTATCCCAGGATACTTTACAGTTTGGAGTCCCTAGAAAGTACTTAGATTTGCACTTAGCACATGGTTAATCCTGTTTGTTTTCCTACACTCAAAGGAGAATTATAATGGATCTATGACAGGGCCATGGGATCCGGTTCCTTTCTGTGGTATAATGCTGCTTTTCCTGTTGGGGGCTAGCTGTGTGTTGAAAACTATTCTTTCCAAAGCTTCTTGATACCTTATCGTCTCTGGGTCACATGATAAATGATCAGTTGCAAACCAAACTGAAAGTTGAGGAAAGGAAAAGAATGGGCTGAAACCTTCTTTGGGTTCACTTGCAGATGGCATTGCATGGAGGAGTGGAAGAATCTTGGCTCTGAAATTGAGTTCCAGTCTCAACTCTGCCATTTCTGTCCTTGGCCATGAACAGGTGGCATCCTCTCTTTGGGCCTCACCTGGCAAGAGAAGATGTCAATACAAAGAGGTTGAATAAGACAAGCACACTGGGCATGTCAGTGAATTTTAATGCTCCTAAGTTTCAGAGGACACATCCGTTACTGGCAGCTAATGCAGAACTGTGCCCCAAAAAGGTGCTGTGTGCAAATTGGAGTAAGGTGTACCTGTGAATTATCTCCGCTTCATAATTTTCTGTTGATAAAATGCAGCCAGCTCCAGAAGGAATCCTATAAGACACTCTTCGTGGCCTGATCTATGATCTCCAGAAACAATAACCCTGACTGTAGGTTTTCCTGCCCAGTACTCCCAGTTGGAGGGTGGCTTTGGTTGTTGCTACCTCCTCCAACACGTAGCAAGTGACCCTAGGTCTAGGGTTAGAACTGTTCTTCAAATCACTGCTTCATTCTCAACTATGTTGACCAATGCCCAGTATACCTTCCCTAACCAGGCTACAGTGCATTGCCTATTTCAATCAAATTATGAAAACGCAAAGATAGAATAATCAGAAATGCTAATTTGTCACTAAAAATCTGGCAAGCAGAGCCCATATTTTGCAAGCAGCTTTCCTATTATACTTTTGTTCTTTCCTCAACTAATTTAGCTTACTAATTTTCTATAATTACCTGAATGCTCTTAGCTTCCCCTGGTCAGATGAGTTCTGAGACACTTACATAACTAGCATTAAAAAGATGCATTTAGCAGCTTAGATTGTTAGAGTAACAAAGCCTATAGAATCCGGAGGTTATTGTATTCTCCCAAAAGTACTTAAATAATAGCCTAAAATCTGAAGAATTACTTTAATACTTCAATAAAAATAACCCAATTCAAAACATTTTCAAGGAAACATAGTTCTTTGCTCTAGGCTACCGAGTAATGGCTGAGAGAAAGTATATAGCCTGTCACTTCTGATTAGAGGACTGTGCCTCTGTGCTTTGAATGAGGGGCATGTCTGGTAATAGGAAGTGCAGATATTAAAGTTAATAAAATAATGTGGAATACGATATATATGAAACTTGACCAAGTACAGCACAGAATACAACATACATTACCCTGTTCAGTCAACTCCTGTGGCCCCGCATCTAATGACAAGCTTAATTTCTGTTTCCAATGAGAGTACAGCTAAAAATACAATTTCCAGATTAGACAAATATTTTATCCGACTCCCTAACAAATGTAACCAAGAACGGCTGACACGTCTCCGCAGATGCCCAGCGACCATGAGAGAGAATTACTAGGATTGCAAACTGCTCAGCCTGAAAAGTCCATGAAACGCCATCATCTTTGAGGTCATTATAAATAATTAGTTGCTAACACGGCGATGTGGAAGCTTCACAACTGGAAAGGGACCAGGGTGGATCTATTTCTCTCCTGCCCTCAAAGGCTTTCGGCTCCCTCTCGGCACAATTAGGCCTCCCCAAACAACTGGGCACCGAGGCCCCTGCCCACCCGTTATTACCTCTTTAATCTAAAACCCCAACGCCAACCATAATGGTTTTGTTTTTCGATACATTAACCTTCAGCTTGTATTTTCACTATTAAATAACCAGCTTGAGAACCTCCTGGAATTTTTTTTCCCAGTCACCTACAAGAAACCGTGCAGTCCCCATGATGTGACCCTCTTAAGGGATTTAAAAGCAATTCAATGAGCTAATCTCAGTAAACCTAGAATTAAAGTTCTTGTTTCCATATTTCACTTCCAAAATATTTAGAACTTTGACAGATATGACATTATGTTTTCATTAAAACAGCTGATTTCAAAATGCTGCACTGTGCAGAAACGCCATAAACAGTTTATGATGAACTGCCACACTCTTAATTAAAACAATAAATCCAGCACACAATATTTGCGCAGCCTCCGGTCTGACCTTTGCCTCTTGCTATCCACTACCAAGCCGCGGCTGCGTTCCCAACGCCAGACGTGGAAGGTTTTAAAACATGATCTGAAAGGCACTAAAGATAAAATAAGAGAAAACGTACCATTAGTCTTCGCAGTTATGATTAATTCAGTTCATATTTTACAATCTGGTTATGGAGTAAAACTGCAGACTTTACATCAAGTATTTGCCATTCACTATACCTAATGTATAAAAATGCTTGATATTTTAGAAAATGGCACCGAGCTAATTCACCACAACCCCATGAAGGACAGAAATTGAAATAATAAAAACAGAGAGTGATTCCCTATCCATCTGAAGTGACGAACAGAGCTCACTCCTTGGACAGTCAGCTCCGGACAATAAATATGTCAATTGCAGCAGCGCATGCTTTCCATGCCACTCACAGCTCTGTGCTGCTGGATTTCAGATTCAAATACTCCCTAAATTTCTCTCATCTGCCCTAGAGCAGGCAGCAAGAATGTTAATTGCTAAGCAGTAATGACAAAAATTTGTTGCAATGGACTAGAGTTGGCAAGCCAACCTTGGGTCCGACCAGCTCTCAAGGCAATTGGATCGTGCATGTATGCCTCAAAGAGAAGGCAGTGGGTAACTGGGCAAGCTCGTGCTGCAGCCTCTCCCTGGATGGGTGGATGGATGGATGGATGGATGGATGGATGGATGGACAGCATCTGGCTTCTGGGAGAAAATGACCTAGCTGGGATGGGAGCCAAGACCCCCATCAGGAAGACTGTCCAGTCTCCTTAGTGGGAATGGAGGCTAACCTCATAGTATCTGCAGCAGGATGGCCTCTAGCCACCTCCACACTGCCAGAGATGAGCCTGCGCCCCTGATCCCTTCTCCTGCACTCTCCCCCACCTTCATTCCTCTGTCCTCCCAACCCCCCATTACCATCCAAACCCACCACACATCCATATGACAGACACACGCTCACTGCATATGGACGTGAGCAGAGCTGGATAGAGCATGTGCACATGAACACAGCAAAGCCGCTGAGGCTGAAGGATCAGAGGGTGACAGTGAGCTGGCAGCCCACTGCAGATCTTTGTCCAAGTTATGACTGAAGCCCATCAGAGTTCTAGAAAGAGAGAGGGGAAGGGAGTGATGCTGGCCAACAAGGACATGTGGGCTCTCAATGCAGGACCTGGCTCCACTCCGCCCACACAGAGTGGGGATAGAACCCCAAGGGAGACACCTCCTACTGTGAGGACAACCTCCCTAACTTGGCTTAGATAGCTCTAGTCTTCACCTACCTCCAAAGCCCCATCATGCCTAATCTCTCCTCCCCTAATCTCCCCTGAGCTCCTCCAGTGGCTCCTCTCAGCCCACATAGCATGACAGACGTACAGCCCTCACCTGGTCACTCAAAGGCACCAATGCTACTCAGTCCTGCGCAGGGGGCCTCCCAAGGAAGGGACACTAGGCTGAGCTCCCAGAGCCTCTTTTCCATCTGGGCCCAAAGACATGTCTCAAATCTGCCCTGGGCATCCTAACAGAAGAAGAGTCCTGCAGGAAGGCTGGACTCTGAGGTTCCTGAGCAGCATGCAGGGTGCCTGTGCCCACCTGGCCCTGGATGAGGGCCACCACAGCCCTCAGTAGAAACTATCACTCAGTATCTTCACCCTTTGTATCAAGGATGAGAGTTAGGACAGGCTCTATGCATCTCTACATCTTCACAAAAGAGGTGCTCTGCAGGACTCAAATCCTCTGCTCTCCACACTTGGACCAGGAGGGGTAGCCCACACAGTGGGCACTGCCCGCTCTCCACCTGCCATGCCTCACATCAGCCTGGTGTGCAGTCCACCCTGGCTGACAAAGGTCACAGTGCATGGATACTTAGCCTCACCATCATCTCACGGACATTATTTTTTTTTAGAAAACTGGTCGCTTAGAGGAATAAAATCTCCATTCTGAAGTCATCTGGCTAGCGGGTGGTACCACACAATGAAAATCAGCACCTTCTGCTTCAGAGTCAGTGCTCCTTCACGGCAGCACTTTGCTATCACAACAGGCAGCATCTCCTTTGGGAAGCCTGTCTGTCTGTCTGTCTCTTTGTGACCGGGTCTCACTGTGCAGTTTGGGCAGATTTGAACTCACTCTGTAGCTCAAAGTGGCCTCAAGCTCAGAATCCTCCAGCCTCCCCGGGCTGGGATTAGAAGCATCCACCACCACACCTAACTCTGAGCAGACTCTTGAGTTTCTCAAACTGAGAGCCACAAATGTATATATTCTCAGGGGATTATAATTCAATCCTTGATAATTTTTAATGTATCCAAAGTTTTTACATCATGAAAACCTATCTGAATGATTCAGTAAGTTGGGCACTTGCCAGGAATTTAAAAGTAGTCTGGACAACACAGTAAAACCCCATGTCAAGTTAAAAAAAAAAGTTAAAGAATGAATATAAACAAATTCTAGATCACCTGGGTATCTGACCATTATGCGATTTTCATGCCAAGTTTGTGTTTTCCATCATAAGGGTAGCAAAGCACACTCGTCTCTTCTTCTGGGACTGAAGTGGGTAGAACTAATATGCAACCAGCACACTGGAGCTAAGGAAAAAAAAAATCACATGGAGCTGTAGAAATCTGTTCAAGGACCTATAAGACTTGATTTGCTCTAATGCATGATGGGGAGAGAATGGCATATTCCAAAAAGAAAAAACCTGAAATACATGAGGGTGTGATCAAAATATATAGTGTTTAAGTCCTTTAAAGATTTATTACAGTAAAAGGCAAGGTGCCATTAATCCTCTTCAGAATATTGCCTCTCATTTCACACACACCTATCCCATCATTCTTGCTATTTTCTGAAGCAGCTCTGGAAGTCTTGTTTCATGAATGTCTTTATAATTGTGATAAAAATATACAGTGAATACTATTGCTGAGAGACATGCAAAGGAAAGGCATGTCCATAAAGGCTTTATGGTGTGTTCTTGTCCACCTTATTCACTAGATCTGGCACCATGTGACCTCTGGCTCTTCCCTTAAGTCAAAATGACCATGAAAGGAAAACACTTCAATTGATTCAGGACATCATGGCAGTGATAGGAGCAGAACTAAAAACACACACAAAAGAGGACTTACAGAACTGCTTCAGAAAATGGCAGAACTTATGGGACAAGTGTGTTCAGAGAGGAGTATTTTGAGCAATATTAATGGCAATATGTCTTTTGTTGTCATTTTTAACTTAAGCATTCATCATAGTTTTAATCTCACCTCAGATAACACATCAATGCTTTTTTCCCAATGAGTGAACTTTCAGGACATGCAGAATCCACCCAGGACAGCTAGAACCTTCTCTTTCTGGTCTCTCTCATTGCCTTGGTTTCTGTCCATTCTTATGGTCTCCTTCTGGATCCATGTCCCAGGCAAGGGTCAAATCTTTCAGAGCCAATATTAAGATTTTTTTTTTTTAGGCATGTCGGATTCTTCATAGTCTGTCAGTGACTTTATCTTGCTACTCCTGACAGCACTCGGAGCATAACTTCATGGGCTGATAAATTATCTTCCCTTTATTATTGGCTCTTCAGCAAGGAATGAGAGAGGTAAAGAAAGAAGAGGGCGAGGAAAGAAGAAATCCCTCTCTGCCGCCAGTGACAGTAACAGGAGAACAAAGAAGCGGAAGAATTGAGTCAGCCTTGCCCCCACCTGACCCCCAAGAATTGTAATCGCACCGATCTGGAAAGAACTCAGGATGTATTTGTCAGTTTGGGATTCGTGCTGTATGTCGTGACTAAGTTTCAGCAAAACAACATCATCCTTGCCATTAAATGAATGATGCTATTTTAAATTGTATTGGTTTTATAATTTTGTTTGTGTTTAATTTGCAAATGTTGCTTGGTTTTATAGTTGTGTAAAAGCTATAAAAAAAAGGAGCTTAAATTTACTTTCATATGATCTGTAGTCAGGAATGCTACTATCTTCTTTATGGAGTGGTTATGGGGATTTAATGAAATAACGCAGGGAAAAACGCTAGCATCGTGCCAGGCACATGGGAAGAGCTCAGTAAATGTTATTGAACTTGGATATCATTTTTTATACTAATATAACAAAATACTTCAAATTGTGATTGTGGATCTACAGTATTTTTTCCTTAATAAACTACGTTAATCAAGATTCTGGCGTACTGGGTAAGGCATTTTGTCTTCAGGAGGCCCATTGAGGGGACAAGCCTATGATTTCTCCTACAGAGAAGTAGCCATTAACTCATAAATGCCCGCTGCACATCAGAAGAAATGGAAATTGCAAGAGGATGGAAAGAGATGATAAAAGCAAGTTGGGATAAGGCAGAAGCGTTCTCACTCAAGGCTTAAACATGGCTGAAACTATACTTCTAGGAACTGCATGAATCCCCTCATTCAAAACTAGACTTACCAGTGAACATATTTAAAAGGAAAGAATGATTGGGATGAGGGAAAGGAGAACAGGAGAAAAAGAAGGAGGGGAAAATATAGCTAAGATAATGAGAGCTAAGACAGCTAAGATAATCGCACTACTAATTTCTATTGGTTTATTGAAAGGAACAGTTAATGATTAAATTTTTTTACCAATTTTACATGCTTATATCTGGTAATCTGAACAATTACTTTGAAGACAACAATATGCAATATAATAACCACTGTTGAATTCCTATCAGCTTGGGTTTTTTTTAAATTCTATAGATCATTTCTTATGTTTATTTTTTTTTATTCATTTAAAATAAAAAAAAAAACACTAGACTTTCACCTGAACTGCCCTCAGCCTGGTGATATTGTTAGGAGAGCATATCTTCTAGAACATTGGGATGGGGTAGAAGGGTTTTCATCCACACCAGCCAGAAACTTTATCTCTATTTCCCACGCCCACATTCCTGATGAAATTTTACCCATCCTCCCAGACACTCCGCACAGGCAAAAACAGATAGATTTTCAGCTGGTGTGAAAATCTTCCCAAGCTGGTGGTTGGTGGATTAATATTACCATTTTTCACCCTCTCCTTCCTGGTTAATGAAACAGATTAGAGGTTGGAGGGCTAGCACCCTGGGGGATGCACTCTTCAGAGTGGAGCAAACACCCTGGAGGGTAGAATCTGCTCCATGAAGATCTGAACACATCCAGACATAGGCTTGCCCAGCATTGGCTTTGAAAGAAGCAGAAGGGGAGAGAAATGGAGATGACAGGGGAGGGGCACTAGCGGAAAGTGGCAGATCCCTAAGGGACAATGAAGCTCCCGCGTTCCCCTCACTCCATCCTATACCCTTCCTGCCAGGGGAATCTTTAGCTTCAGAATGAAGGGAGTGAAGATTGAAAGTCTCTTCCCTTACTCTGGACATCTTCTAAATCTTTTGTTTACATCTTCCATTCTGGGCTGAATTGCTCCCCACCACTGCCAGATAAATTCATATGTTGAAATCCTACCCCCCAACACCTGATAATCTGACTCTTTTCAGAGACAGCCTCTTTAGAGAGGTAATTAAGTTGACGTGAGGTCATTAGAACGGATCTTCATCCAATATGAACGGTGTCCTTAAAAGGAGAGGCTAAGACATAGACAGCAGAGGTCAGACAACGTGAAGACAGGGAGAAGACAGCCATTTACAAGCCAAGAAGGAAGGCCTCAAAAGAAACCAATCTCCCAACGCCTTGATCTCAGACTTTCAGCCTCCAGAAGTGTGGGAAAATAAATGTCCTTGATTGAAGCTTCCCTGACCTTGGCACTTGGTTATGGTGCCCTAGCAGATGAACGCACCTTTGAACTCCAAGTCAAGAACTGACCTGTATCTCCCTGTGTTCAGCAGTGCCATGCCTTCCCCCAGGCCAGTCTGTGAGGAAGGAGGAGAAATAATGAATGAGTGTTGCAGCCCCTGTCAAAGCCTCCTTCCCCCACTGTGGGCTTTCCCACCCAGGCCTCCAGGCCCCTGCCCTGTGCCATGTCTTGCCCTCCTGGGACCCCCACTCCGTACTGCATCAGCAGCCAGGGGCAGCCCCCACATGTGTGTACCAACTGGGACACTTCAAGCTGGAAGCTGGCATCTTCTCACTGTGGTTGTACCTCCCTGCTGGGGCCCTGGTGGGTGTGAACTCAGACAGGGTGGCCAGCCCAGACTCCAGAACTCTCAGAGCAGCTGCCATGTCCCGACTGCTGCCACCCATCCCCGGACCACCTGGCTTCATGCCTGCTGCTCCACAGCGGAGCCCAGCTCTGCAGGGCAGCGGGGCTGAACAGCCCAGCTTTACAAGGGGACAAATGGACCGTTTCATTTCCCAAAATAGCCTTCCAGGAGCACTCCTATAGGAGGCCATAAAAGAAGGTTTAGAATCAAGAACTTTTAGGGCGGTTTTTATCTCCATGAGTGTCTATTGAGTTTTATGCCCTTGCAGGGCATCCGTCGGCTGTGGTCAGAGTAGGAAAAGGCCTTTCATCGAGTGCAGGAAGGAAGGGCTGGTCAGAAATGAGTCGGACCCTTCCCCGTCTGGTTTTAAAGTACTAATTCTTTTCTTTTTCTTTTTTTATTTTAAAGATAATTTTTCTAAAAATACAGAATTTCAAAACAAGATGATAGGAAATTTACAGGGTTATTGTACTGCATGTTGTTGTCTTCAAAGTAGTTGCTCAGATTACCAGATATAGGCATGCAAGATTGATCAAACGTAAACACTGCTCCTTTCCATGAACTACTAGAAATTAGTAGTACAGTTATCTTAGCTCATATATAATATATATATAATATATATATACCTTTCTTCTTTTCTCCTTTCCCCCATCCCAGTTGTTCTTTCCTTTTGAACAGTTTCTTTTCCATTCACAATATCTGTTAAAGGACTAATTCTAAAGCAGTTTTAGAACTTCAATATTGTAGAACAGACGGCGCCCCCTGGTGGTTGATAGTGATCTGAGTCATAACCGGAGATTACAGCAGGGAGCCGGAAGCCCCAAACCCTGCCCAAAACCCCTGAGGGCCACACGAGGCAGGGACGATGAGAGACAGCTTCCCTGGCGTGCCCAGGTACCCACGTGTATGTGTAGGCATGCATACACATGCACCACACAGACCCTTGTATATATACATACACACACACCACCACCAGCGCTCACACACTCAGAGGCAAGGTTGTTGCCTGCCTCTGAGGACCAGGGTCACCCACGGGGACCCAAAAAGCACAGGCTCCTCCTTACGTTGGCCCTTTTCTCCCCAGGGCTGATTCTACCGTAATTCCTCTTGTCACTCTCCACTTTGACTCCTTTCCTCACGTTCAGAAGTGCCTCTTTCAGGAATGGCACTCAGTGGGAGGTGCGGCCACCCCGGCACACTCAGGGCAAAACCGCACCAAGCATGGATGAGAACCAAGTCCCCTTGACTCTGGGGATGATGGTTTTCCCTGGGGCGGGTCCTGACCCTGGTGGGCAGGTAAGTGAGAGAGTAGAATAGAAGGGCAGCAGCTCCAAGATGTGCCCCAAGAGCCCCCAGCTGGCCCTCTGTGCCTTTAAAGCCACACTATGTGCATCAGGGACACAGGTGTAGACATAAGGCAGGGCTTAAAGAGGCAGAGTCAGGTCAAGGGGTGTTGCTCCATCTGCAAGCAGTACCACCAGCACCTGCAACATAAAACAGGATACGCAGCTTGAGAATTCTGACTCCAGCTGCTACCTGACTCATTTATTTGATCCAAACCCTCAGCTTTCTCATCTGTACAATGGGAGACAATCACAGAGTGTGTTTCACAGGCCTGCTGTAAGAGCAGACCATCACCATGGAAACTGCTGAGCACCATGCGTGACCTGTGATATAGCTCTAAACATTATGCCATTCCTTCCTTATGGACACCACACAACCTAGCCAATGTAAACAACAGCCCAGAAACCCACAGACAGCCCTAATTTTCCCAAGAACCAAACAATCTACATTTCCCCACCAGCCTATGGGAGGAGGGGGCAAAAGCATTGGCCTGGGGTCGCCTACACATCCCCCCAACAGGACTCCAGGGGCGTCAGACCCCAGGTCTGGCTGACCCCCATTTATCTGCAAGACTTAAAAGGTCTTTCTCTCACTCTGAGGCCCCTGCTGTCCAGCTTCACTGTCAGATAATCCTGGTGGCCAAGACAGCCAGAGTTGAGCTCGAGGAATTTTTAGTTCCAGGGGAGTAGAAAGGACACTGGTGTCCCCAAGTTTATTTCCATCTCAAGGTTCAAAACTTCTCCAGAGACCCCTTGGCTCTTCAGTGAATGGAGTCTATGCCACAGCAGCGCCCACATCCTTCCCCTAGCCCTGTATCCAGAGCACCCAGCAAATACAGGTTGTAACTTTAAAAGTATGAAAATCAGGAAACGGAATGTTGCTAATTCTCACGGCAGCATTAACTCATTCGCTTGCACATATGGGGTATTTGGATCCCAGTAGGTCTTCTATATATATAACTTATTATACAGTAGGTGCAACTTGGGAGAATTAATGTTGCTATAGGAACATTCAGATCAAGGCTGGCTTCCAGAGTGAGGAGAGAAAAAATAAGTTTTCCTCCTCGGTGTACTTCTCTGTTTTGAGTTGCAAAGAGGAAGAAGCAATGTAATCTAGTCAAATGAGGCGAGGAGGGGCTTCCCCTGGTGGTTTGGGGAAGGTGAGAATTCCTGGAAACCACTCACTAGGGAAAGAAGACAGCAGCTCCGAGTCTGAACCGGATGCCTCTGTGGCAGAGAGGCCTAGGGAAGAGACTGTGGGTGGGGATGGTCAGGAGCAAGGCTCCAGGTGACAAAGCCAGAGCCTTGTCCCGGGGATCTTTCCCAAGGACAAGCTGAAAGCCCCCTAAACCCTAAGTGCCCTGTGTTCACTTCCCCAGACCCACACCCTGTGTCTTTGCCCCCCAATATTTCATCCTTCTCAGGGACAAGGTAAAGACAAAGGGGAAATCACAGGTGAGTTCAGTGGTGCACACGGGTTCCTGGGTAGACACACTCCAGGGACCCATCTCGGGCTGAAGAACTGAGCAGCAAACGGGTTGGACATTTGCCCGACCTTGGAGTACGTAACAGCTCTCTTGTTTAGAGCAGTGAACCTGTGTCCACCCATGAATCCTCTATCTAAACCAAACTCTATTTGTTAATAGCTCTGTTTGTAAGAGCAGGCCATCATCAAACATTTGGCCCAGGAACTACAGTTTTCCTGATTAATAAATTTGGACATCCCTTTGAATCCCCCGCATGGTCTGAAATACATAACCCTACTGTCTCCTTTTGGAAAAGCAGGATCCTATATCTCACACCCCACTCTCTTTCTTGGGACATCTGTGGACCCTAACAGGCCACAGATGCTGAGATGGTCATAGCCTAATCAGACATCCTGCCCATGGTGAGGGAAGCCCCACAACACCCGAGACACACGCCCCAGGTAGACTGAATCACCCAGGCAGCCTCATTGGCTCCTATTGGCAGCCTACACATGTAGCAGTGTGCCAGGTATGTAGAGATGGCTCAGGAAAAGTTAGCTGAAAGAATGGATATTGAGCCCAAGATGGAGGCAAAGCCAAGAAGTTCAAAGGAGAGAAAAAAGATTAGCATTCCTAACAGTATTTTCCAAGTCAACATTCAACAAGCTGTCTATTATACCCAAGGGGATACGAAGATAAATAAGACATTACCTCTGTCCTCAACATGCTCACAGTCCACCTAGAGGATGAAGAGGGAGAGACATGGGAATAAATTACCAAGGACTGCTGGGCGTGGTGGCGCATGCCTGTAATCCCAGCACTTGGGAGGCTGAGGCAGGAGGATGGTTGTGAGTTCGAGACCAGCCTGGGCTACATAGTGAGCTCAAGGCCAGCCTGAACTGCATAATGAGACCCTGTCTCAAAAAGACAGAAAGAAAGAAAAAAATCATCAAGAACCATGTCTTACTCTGGTGTCCCCATGGACCAAGCCGAGGTATGTCCAGTATAGGCACCTGCATGAGTCCGTGGGGTGAGCATCAAGATGGCAGAGGGCAGGCACCTGCCCAGGGGGTGTGGGAAGCATCAGCAGAAACACAGCCTTAGAGGATATTAACTCTGCATCATCCCACAGACTGTGGCCCACGTACCCACCCTCCAAGGCCACCAGATGGCCAAAGCCTCCCTCCCCATTAGGTATTTCTGACACGATCCAAATACTGCGACAGGAAAAGGGGCTGCTGCTCCCCAGAGCTGTTGTTTTGCATTTCATTTGAAGCTGTGTCTACTTTTAAAAACATATATAATAGTAAAATGGAATGTCTAAGGCCTTCCCAGGCCACTCAGCGATCTGCAGTGTGCCGCGCATCCTAACCACTTGCGGGGCTGAGTTGTAGGCAGAGAGAGCATCAGCATTGCCCCTCCACCCCTCAGATCTCCTACATCATTAAAGGTAGATCTGCCACATCCTTGCACCAACAATTTGCCAAATTTCACATGACAGACCAGCAAGGGAGAAGCCGAGTCTAATATACTCACAGATATTGGTTATTCTCAGATGAGGGCAGGCAGGTGCTTAAGGGTTATCTGTTTGTTTAATCATCAAATCTCCAATGAGCCTCCTGGGCATCGCGGAGACAGACCCTTTCCTCAGGCTCCCAGGCACTGCAGAGCATCCGGCACATTATCACTCTGTTCTTGTGTCAGAAATTTTTCTCTTTGTTCCCTTCACTCACTTTAACTCAAGTGTGGTGTTTTTAATTCGGTCTGCGGCATGCTTTTGAAACTAAGCAGTTCGTGCCCAGACAGCTGGTGTTACAACTGGCCTATTCCCTTCCGCCCCCAAGAAGAGCCAACTTGGTGGGTGCGTAGCCTCAACAGAACTCACGCACATCCCCACATGCA